AAAAGGAAGGTGCCCCCTGCCTCACATGGGGAGGGAACTGGCAGGGGTGGCAGCGGCTGTAAGCTCTCCAGGCGGGAGGGTGAAGGCTGCTTGGACTCCCCATGCCAAGGGAGTGGGTCCCTTTGGCCCTAGTGAGAGGAGGTTGGGGGGTGACTGTGGGGTGACTGTACTGCCTGTGTTTGGGGGGGTCTGCCCTCCGCTCAGCAGCTCATGTTCCAGCCTGAATTTCAAACCCACGTTGTTCTGCTGGGTCCAGATGTGTTTGCCCAGCCCTTGGCAGCATGTGTCTGGTATGCGCTGGGCTGCGTGTCTGTCAGCAGCCGCGCTCTGCACCAGAGGTGGCTGCATTTCAGTGATGCTCTGTGAACCCGGCCATTTGTGACCAGGTAGATTGAACACGGGGCTGGTCATCAGTGCTCCTGGGGCCCGTTCCTGACCCTTCCACCAGCACACTGGGTGACCTCGGATGGGTCCCCACCCCTCTGTGCCTCGGTTTCCTACCCTGTGAAATGATTCTTCTCCGCTGAGGTGCCATGTTCTGAGATCTGGGGGTGGAGATGCTGCGTGGAGCGGGGCTGGCAGTGCCTGGATGCTCCCCTGAGGGTGGCTTCCTTCTGGGGAGATGCTCTGGGTGCTCTGTCTGCCCTGGTCCCCATGCATGTGCTGAAATGCAGCATCTCTGGGGTGGAGCCCAGCCACTGCCTGGTGCACAGCAGTTCATCCAGCTGCAATCTCCTCCTTCGGCCTCAGCTCGTTGGGTCTGCCTTTGGGCTGGCGTAACTGGAACTGGACCCTGCAAATGCCCAGGTCACCTTCCAAATGGGCCATTGGCCCCTCCTTTGCTGTAGGGCTTCCACTCAGGCAGCAAAGCACACGGGGAATCCCAGGGAGTGGGTCCACCTCTGCCAGGGCTCAGTCTGGCCCTACAGATAGCCATGCAGCTTGTGACTCTGCTGTGTTACTGTTAGGGGCCGACAGCTCCTTACGGCGGGGTGTGTGGATCTGGGGGGGCCCGCTGGGGGGGGGGGAGGATAAGAAGGGGTGTGGGAAGGCACTGGGCTGGACTCAGGAGGTCGGATCTATGTCCTGCTTGCTGGCACCATGTCCCGTAGGGCCGGATTTTCAAAGGCTCAGCGCCTGGGGCGCATTTTGGGTGCTGAACTCGTGAAAATTCTGGCCTTAATCTTCCTGTGCCTCAGTTTTCCTAGTACGGATGCTCCCCAACTTACGCAAGCGTTCCGTTTCGGAACGCCTTGCGTAAGTCGAATTTTGCGTAAGTTGGGAACGTGCACCCGACAATTACACCCTCCCCCCACCCCCACCCCCCCTCAAAAAAAGCTTACGGAACTTTTTCCATAAGTGCGGATTTGTGTAACCCGGGGAGCGTCTGTACAGCTGATGCTTCCTTCTCCCACCTTGGTTTTGCCTTGTCTGTTTGCTGGGGCTCTTCTGCGCTCTCTCGCGGGGTCTGTGCAGCGCCTGGGCCCCAGTCTGGCCGCAGCATAAAGCTGTTCTTAGCTGCCGTTGTTTGAAGCTGTTGGGTTTTTGCCCAGCCTGTTCCTTGGGGCAGCCCCGTGGGGGATGGCCAGAGGCTGCTGCGTCCCTGGGGATCAGTATCGTGCTCAGTGCGGAAGGGGCTGGGCAGCTCTGGGGGAGCCTCGGGGGCGTGGAGGGGGATGGAGACTTGGCGTGGGGAGAGGGGCTGCAGTGCGGCTTGGCCTTAGGGCGGTGGTGCTCTGGGGACGCAGCACTGGGGTCGGGGGCAGGACCCCCAGGGACTGGCACTGCCTTGCTCTGCAAAGCAGGCATGAGCCCGGGCTCCAGGCAGGCTGGTGGGTGGTGCAGTCTGGGGCTGCAGTGTTGGGGTACAGGCCACCCCCAAGGGCTCTACCCAGACACATGGCTGGATTTACCGGACCCTAGTCTGGCAGGAGGGCAGTGGGGTCCAGTTGTGAGAGCAGGGGGCATGGGGAGCCAGGGCGATGGGGTGCACTAGTGGCTCAGTGCAGGAGAGGGAGGCACAATTCCTGGGTTCGCCCTGCCCCCTCCCTGAGCCTCAGTTTCCCCATCGTGCGGTGGGGCTAGTGAGAGCTGGAGCAGGGCTCAGATCTGTGGGGGGGGACCCGCAAAGGGCCATTTCGGGAGGCAGTCCCTGGGCTTTGCCTGTTTCACCCTTCAGGAGGGGCCAGACGGTGCAGGGGAGGAAGCGCCAGGGGAGTGATGAAGTGTGTGTGTGGGGGGGGGACAATCGCCAACCCCTGCCCCCCCAGGGTGCGGGCTCATCCCAGCAGGAGTGGGGCTGGGGCCGCTGGCAACGGGGGATGGGCTTGGTCCTTCGGGAACCCAGCAGCGCGATGAGCCTGTGCTGAGGGGGACGGTTCAGGGGGGACGGCGGAGTGTCCACAGGCTGTGGCTGTAACTGACAAGTGGGATTGATGCCCTGCCTGGTGTGTTATGCCGGGCGCAGCCCTGGGGCTGGTGGCTCTGGCTCTGCTGTCCCCATGCTCAGGAGAGATCCCCCTCCCCTTGGTGAGTGACCCGCTCCTGACACCACTGCCTGGGCAATTGACAGCTGCCACGGGGCCTGTGTGTGGTATGCGGCTGCAGGACGTTCCAGCCACCAGCCCCCAGCCCACCCCGCCTTTGCAATGTGTCCGGCTGTTCCTGGTATGCATGGGGGTGGGGGAGCCCCGGCGCCCCCTCGGGCGCGGCTGCCCCAGGCCCCGGCTGACGGGATGTGTCACTAGCACCAGCTGCTTAGAATTCCTGGTGTGGAACGGCCTAGCCATCTGGGGAACATCTGGGCCCAGACACCGCAGGCTGGCTGGCGTGGGGGGCTGGGTTCTGCTGCCCCTCAAGGGACTCTTCCCCTGCCCCCCGCCCCGGTTGGATCACGCGCCCAGGGCGGCAGAGGCTCCACCAGGTGCGGGCTGAGCCGGGCCCCTGGATCTTGGCTGTGCATACGGCATCAGCGGTGCCAGCCCAGCCGGTCAGAATGGCTCCTTGAGCCCCCCCACTACTGGGTCTAGGTTCCTGTTGTTCCCAAGTGGAGCTGAGCCCTTTCCCTGGGCTGCACCCAGCTGGGCTCTGGCCTTTGGAGCTGGAGGTCCCCGGGCGGGATGCTGAGCTGCCGAGCGAACCTGGCTTTGCAGCAAGTTCGGCTGGAGGCCAGGGGCTTTCCCAGGCAAGCAGGGCTCGCAGCTGGTCCACAGACTGGCCTGGGGTTGGTTACAGACGCCTCTGCAGTGTTGGGCATCGTGGTGCTGTCAGCCCCTAGCTCTGACTGCTAGACGCCACCCTTTCCTAGAGCCAGGAATACAACTCAGGGTCCCCACTCCCAGCCTCCGGCTCTAACCCACTAGACCCCGCCCCTCCCAGAGCTGGGGAGAGAACCCAGGAGTTCTGACTCTCAGCCGCTCCCTGGCTCTAACCCACTAGACTCCATGCCCTTCCAGAGCTGGGAGAGAACCCAGGAGTCCTGACTTCCAGACCCCCCCTTGGTGCGTTGGGGTGAAACCTCCCCGGGTGCAACATGTGGGGGCCACAGGCTCACCCAGTTAAAATGGGCTGATCCCAGAAATACTGGGGCTGGCTGACCCTATGCCACAGCGTCATATGGGGGGTCGCAGAAGCATGGTTCGGAGATTGTCCAGTGTGAGCTCCCCACAAAAGAACCCCCAGAGCACATTGCGCAGAAGAACATCTTGGCCCGAGGGCGAGAATCCCCCACCCTCAGTGCGTGGGGCGTGGCTGGTGACAGGCACTGCTGAAATTAGGGGTACGTTTTGCTGTCTGAATGTGTCAGTGCTGGCGTCCAGCCATGGGGTGGGGTGAGACTTGGTCTGGGCTGATTCCTCCCACTCTGAGTCTGAGGGGCTCTGCAAGCTGGGCCGGGGCTTTGCCATGGCCTTGGTGGAGGGCCCTGCAGCACGAGCCAGCGCTGGTTGTGTTAAGGGCGGGGCCGGGTGCCCTGTGTGTTCCAGGCATGTGTATTAATAGAACAGCACTGGGAATCGATTGGCATTTGGACCCCATAACCGAGACAGCTCTGAGCCCAGGCGAGGGAGGTGTGAATGTCCTCACGTCCAGGCCCCCGAGGCTGGGAGAGGCGGGCATCGATCAATGCTGTGCTCGGGGGGTGAGTGGAGGCTGGGGGCTTGTCGATCGCAGGCTGGGATGGGTGCCAAGGTGCCAGGCTCTGATCCTGAGATGGGGTCTCATTAGCCTCCCAGGTGCTGGTTAGTGTGAGCAGGTGGAGAGCCCCTCCTGTATGTTCTGGTAATTTCCTTGGGGGTGGGGATGGGGGGCGACCAAGGGACGCCCCTGGGTCCTGACTCTAGCCACTTCCCTTTGAGGAATGCAGAGCACTTTGCAAACTAGCTATTTCAGCTGAAGCCCCTGCCAGGGTGGGCCAGTATTATTCTGCTTTGACAAATGGAGAAACGGAGGCGCAGAGCTGGGCCGTGACTTGCCCAAGGTCACCCAGTACAGAGCTGGGTAGAACCCAGGAGTCCTGATTCCTAGTCTGCTGATCTAACCACCAGAGCACACTCCTGTCCCTGAATGTTGTACTTAGAAGCCAGCAAGCCTGGCTCCCAGCTCCCTGCACTAAGCACTAGGCCACTCCTGGCCCTGGGATGCCAACGGGCCGAATGAAACGGGGCACTGCTGAGTGGCCAGTCTTGCATCTCTCAATAACGCACCCGCTGTTGGATTTAACGGCAAGGGGGCTGGGTGCCACGCTCCTGGGGTCACACCCCAGCCTCGCTGTGCTGTGGTTTTGGTTTGGTTTTAGTGTCATCCAGAAATACGACATCTGGGTGGCAGGCGCCATCCTCCTGGGATGGTTTGAAACGTTCCAGACATGGTCCTGCCAGGAGCTAGGGCTGGGACAGTGCTGCTGGCTGGGGCAGCTCCTGGGCGGGGGGCTCCTGCGCCCACCCAGTGCCAGCGATTGACTCCCTCCCACCCCAGGGGGGGCAGCTTGCGGGGAAGGTGGTGGGTCTGGGCGGAACAGGCCCCTCATTTACATTGAGCCCTGGGGGTGCAAGCTCCTGGGGTGTGGGGCTGGGCCGAGCCTGGGGGTTTGCAGTCCAGGGCCTCACGTTGTGGGTGTCTGTCCCTCGCTGGAGACCTGGGGCTGGCTGAGGACACTCGGCGGGCGCGTTGCTGCAGGGCGCTGGCACAGGAGCTCGGGTGAGGGGAACCAGGGCCCCCCAGACAGGAGCCTGCCGCTACCCTGTGGCTGCCATGGCAACCCCTGGCAGCGGTGCCTGCCTGGCCCTGGAAGCTGCTTCCTGCTTAATGGGGGAAGGGCCGTGCTGAGCGCTGTGCCATCAGTCCAGCGCCCGCTGTTCTGGGAGTGCCCCACTTGGGCAGAGCCTAGCCAGGGGGTGAATGGTGTCGTTGCCAGGGTGATGGGAACTGGCTCTCGGAAACCTGGGCCGGCTGCCTGAGGCTGAGGGCTGCAGCCGGAAAATCATCAGGGGCGGAGGGGGCTGAGCTGGGAAGCCGGCTCTAGAGTTGCGGCTGTGCATGCAGAGGATGGCAGCCCCCGAAAGGCTGCTTGGGAGCGGGGCCAGAGAGCAGCACCCGTGGTGTTAGCGAGGGGGGCTCCCTCCCCTGGTGGGGCCAGAGGGGGTTCTGGTCTAGCTCCCCCTTTCCGTGTGGCCAGCTCTGCCAACGTCTCGCAGCCCTGACGTAGCTCCCCAGCGTGTACGGTAGAGCTTCGGCTTGGCTGTTCCACTGAGCGTTTCTGGGGCCCCTTCTGGCCGCGGTAGCTGGGAAGGGGTCAGCCACGCTCAAACCCAGAGCCCGTCTGGAGAGGGAATCTCAGCACCTGGTGTTGCTCCCACTCCGTCCCAGTGGCCTGGGTCTGTCCTGCATCGGCAGGACCAGAAGACCCAGCGCCAGAGTCCCCACAGAGCCCCCCCACCCCCGCGCTGGGGTGGACGGCACAGCACGGGGGGAAGGGGTGCAAATCCTGCACTTGGCACAGTGCCCTGGGAGTCACGGAGAGCAGGTGGGACCTTGGCTTTTCAGGTCTCAATTTAAAGCCACTCCCCAGTGCATGGGGCATATGGGGCACAGAGCTAGCCCAGCAGGCACTGGGGTGGTCCCGGGGACACGAGGCAGGTTACGTAAGCAGTCGCTGGGGGCAGTGCCCATAGCAAAGCATCATGGCAATTGGCACTAATAAAACAGCCAGTGGGGGATGGACACTGACCTCTCCTGTTCTCCCCAGTGGGACAGCTGCCGGCCTGGCACCTCTCGCTAGCACTGGTTCGTGTGCCTTCGAAACCCCGCCCCGCCCCAAACGATCTGTGCTCAGAGCCTGACTGCACGGGAACCACATGGACCCTGGGGGCAAAGGCCCCCACGGATTGGGACCCCCAGCAGCCAGGGCCATTTGAAATGCAGACCCAGCATCTGTACCATGGGCTGAGCCAAACTCGAGAGGGCACCTTGCGTCCAGCTCCTTAGCAGCCCAGCCTGGCGAGCCGTCCGGTGTGACCCCCCTGGGCGCCCCGGCTCGATGCCATCCCGCTCAGAGGCACCCTGCAGCAGACGGGATTCCAGCCGTGGAGCACGCGAGGCTGAGGGCGGCAGCCCCGGTCCAGGTGCAGGTGGTGTGGCTCCTGGGGCCCCCTGCCCACCCTGAGGGCTGGGGTCCAGAGCCAGGTGGGCAGGGCTGGAGGCACCAGCCTCCCTGTGGCTCCAAAGCTGCTCTTGCTGCTGGGGGGCCCTGAAAGTGCTGAGTTTCCCTGGAGCGTCTGCTGCTGCATGGGGACCCTGGGAGCTCGCGCCGCCCTTGGCCCAGGTCCTTCTGATCCATCTGGGGTCTGGTGTGTAGAGATGATTGGAGATCCGCTGGGCCCCTCTTGGCTGGGCAGGAGCCCACGGAGGCAGCCGAAGCTGGCCAGGGGCTGAGTGCTGCTGCACACCCCTTGCCTGGGGAGGGCTGGCAGGGACGTACTGTCCACACCCAGGGGCAGCCCCAGCGGAGGTGCTGCTCGTGGGGCTGGCACAGCGGGGTTCGCCTGGCCTGGCCACCCTTTGGCTTCTCTCTAGCGGGGGTTTGAGGGGTTCTGGCCTGTGCTTGGAGCTGGGTGGGGTTGGGGGCCCAGCTGGCTCTAGGCAGGGAGGGTATTGTGACAGAGGCCTGGGCCCCCTAACCCCTCTCCCCCTCCCCAGAGGTGCTGATCAAAGTCCAGGTGTATGAGAACAGCGACCTCTCCCCGCTGGCCCAGGCTGCTGTGGAAGTGTATGGGAACCAGACGTCACTGGCCTCAGGCTCCACAGACCATGAGGGCGTCGGGATGCTGCCCGTCAGCTACCGTCTGGGCACCTGGATCCTGGTCACCGCCGCCAAGCGCGGCTTCGTCACCAACTCTGTGCCCTGGCGGGTCGACAAGCTGCCGTGTGAGTGCTGCCTGCTGCTGGGCACCAGGCATTGGGGTGAGGGATTGAGGAGCTCGGGGACACTCCCTCAGTGGGCTGGTAGTTTGCAGATAGCCTGGGATTTGGGGACAGTCCCTTAGCTGGCTCTCCCCACCCCCAGCCAACAGAGGGAGGAGGGGGGCAGTGGACACATCCCAGCCCCTGGGCTGTATGGGGTGTATTGGACTGTGGGGGGGATCAGGGCTGGCACCAGGTTAATAATACGGCAGCCGGGAGGGGCTGATGGGGGTAAGAGGGGCAGACACACCCACTGGGGAGAGCATGGGGCTGAGGGGACAGAGACCTGCTCCTAGGGTGGGGCTCTGGGGGAGGGGAGAAGCTGCAGGGGCGGGTGGTGGGTGCCCCCCTGTCTGCCCCCCCGTCCCTGTGGTGCTGTCTGGGACCCAATGGAGAGCCTGGGCTCTGTGCCAAGCAGCGGCTGCCCACAGGCCGCATGTTGATGAGGCGCAGACAGGCTGGCGTTGTGGGGCCGCTCGCTGATGGGGTCGATAGGGGTGACTTTACTGCAGGCAGTGGGCTGACCTCACATGGGCATCAGTGCCCCCAGCTGCAGCTCTGCGTTTGTGCGCGTGGGAGGGACCATGGGCAGGGGGGTGTCTGCGGCCTTTGGGGGGGAGCAGTGGGGCGGGGTGTGCATGGGGAGGGTGGGGAGATGCATGGCCAGGGGCAGGAGTGCATGTGGTGGTGGGGACATGTGCGCAGCCGGGAGGAGGCATGTGGGGGGTAGGGTGACCAGACAGCAAATGTGAAAAATCGGGACAGGGGGTGGGGGGTAATAGCAGCCTATATAAGAAAAAGACCCAAAAATCGGGACTGTCCCTATAAAATCGGGACATCTGGTCACCCTAGTGGGGGGGGTGTGTGTTTGCGGGGCCGGGGGGGAGGTTGCGGGGCCGGGGGGGAGGAGTGCGGGGGGTACCTGGGGGGCAGGTGTGTGTATGAGACAGGGTACTGGAGGGGCACAGTGGGTGTGGGGCAGCGAGTGCATGTGAGCGAGCTGTTACTCAGCTAACCAGAGCAGCTACCCGTACCCCTCCCGCCCTGGGTACCAACCGCCAGCTCCACCTTCCAGTGCAGGATCCCCCCTGCACCCAGCTGGGTCCCCAGCTCACTCCACGGGGGGTGGGTGGGGCAGAGGGGCTGCGGCTGTCGCATCCCCCTAGGCAGAACTGGGTGCTGGGGCAGTGTAATTCCTGGCCACAGCTACCCCTGGGGTTGTAGCTGGCACCATCTGTCTGACGCCCTCCCTGCTCCACCCCTCGGCGCTGCCAGCAGAGCTGGGCTATTTATATAGACTGCCCCCCCCCCCCCCCCCCCCCCCGGGGGTTTTTTGGGAGAGCTGGGGGGGGGGGGCCGGGGGGGGTCACCCCAGGAGAGCCCCCTGTCCGCCAGCCCCCTCTGCCCTGCACTGTGAGGGGTTGGCTGTGGCACCCCTGTTTTTCGGGGAGGCTGCTTTTACTTTGGGCTGTGCCTGTCCCATGATGTGACTCTGACAGGGGCTTCCCTCTCTCCAGCCTATGTCCCACCCCAGCCCATGTGGGCTGGGCTGCGATCCGAGACCCAAACTCAGCCCCGGGACGTGTCAGCTCCCAGCCTGGCCGCACGGTTGCTTGAGGCTGGGGTACCTGGGAGCTCCCCCCACAGCCAGCACCCTGCCCCGCTCCCCACAGCGCCCCCTGCCGGGAGAGGCTAGAGTAGCTAACAGCACATTGCTCCTGGCTCCTATCTTCCCCTTGCTTGTCCCCCCAGCTGCCCATCCATCTCTGTGTCAGGTGCCAGGGTCATTAGCGATGTCCTGCCAGGTGTCTGCTCTGAGCCAGCTTCCCCGCTCCATGGGTGGGTGCCAGGCTCCCCTCCCCCCGCAACACATGCCCCATTCCGCCCCACTGCCCCGCCCCACTGCGTTGCAGCTGCTGTGCCCCGTGCCTCTCGCCTGCTGCTCATGTACCCTGTGTCTGTCTGGTCCCTCTGCAGTGTATGCCTCTGTCAGCCTGTATCTGCTCCCGGAGCGGCCCGCCACCCTCATCCTCTATGAGGACTTGGTGCAGATCTTGCTGGGATCACCAGGTGAGGCCCGTGATCCACCAGCCCCTCCCCTATGCGTGGGAGGGTGTGGTTAGAGCAGGTGATGGGGAGCCAGGACACCTGGGTTCTATTCCTTGCTGTACCATTGCCCTGCGCGGGACCTAGGGGCAAGTCACTGCCCCTCTGCCTGGACAATGGGGGAGACCCCACCTGCCTCCAGGATTCACCACGGAGAGGCGCTGCAGCACCAAATGTTACCTGCTCCCCCTGGCCTTGTGCTGGGACCTGGGGCCCCTTGGGGAGAGCAGGAGGGGCCTGTGGGTGTCTGAACCTGCCCATTTCGGCTTTACCCTGCGGGGCAGCAGGTGGGGCATATGGGCCAGGTAGCTTGGGTCGCTGTGGCCCTCAGCCAGCGCCTGGCCTGCCCATGTCCCTCCCCACGCAGCCCAGAGGCGGCAGGCAGGGCTCTGGAGGAGGGAGATGGTTGATTTTAAGCCCCCAGTGACATTGGTGTTGGAGCTGTGGCGGGCGAGAGCCTGCGTGCTCCTGCTACCCTCTCGCTGGGGGGCGGACGTGCCCTCCAGGGGTGCGTGGCCAGGGGCTCTGGGGCCGGGAGGTGCGTTTGTAGTCTCGCCTGTGTGCTGGGACGAATGCCCCCATGGCTCAGGCTGTGTCCTTGCGGCTGGCACGGCCTGTCTGTCTGGCGGGGGCCTGGATTCCCTCTCCTGGCTGGCTGGGGTTCAGGAAGCTGCCACTGCAGCTGGTGAGACGCCCGAAGCCCGTTAGCGGCCTGTCTGCCGCCCCTTGGAGGGCAAGCTGCCCGCCAGCCACCCACCTGCCCGCCATCGTCGGAGCCCGGGCAGGGGCTGGAGTCTGGCCCCCGGTGCTTTGGCAGATCTCCGTGTAGACCCCGCTGGGCGCTTTGTCCGGGACTGTGGGGAGAAGCCCTGGACAGGTCGCTGGGGTGAGAGGCTGGGTCCCTTCAGCGAGGGAGTTCCCTGCCCGCCGTCTGCCATGGGGTGAGGGGCACGCGCACAGGAGGGGCGGGGAGAGGCTGCCCTCTGTGTGTGGGTTGCGATGGAGCCATGGGTGCTGCCAGAGCCCATGAGGCTGCCTCGGGGCCGAGGCTCCGGCTGGGCAGGGCAGGGCAGGGACCTGCAGGGCGAGCCTGGTGCCTCATGTCCGTTGTTGTTGCAGGGGCCAAGAGCCAGCCGTGGGTGCAGTTCCAGCGCAAGGCGGCCCGCCTGCCCCGCAGCTCCACCTACAGCCAGCTCTCCGCCTCCCTGACGGCCGCCAGCGGGGCCCACGACATGCGGGGCTTCCCCTCCTTCATCGGGGCTGAGAGCAACGGCAGCGGTATGGGGCCTGGGGGAGGGGACAAGGGAGGGGCTGGGGGGAGCAGGGATCGGGGCGGGGAGCAGTGAGCCCCTCTGACGGCCCCCTCCCCTCCCAGCCAACAGCACCTGGCTGGAGCTGGTTCCCATCGCTGCCGTCAGCGTCCACCTCTTCACGGGCAACGGCACCGAGGTGCAGCTGTCGGGCCCCGTGCACCTGTCCATCCCGCTGCCTCCCGACACCAGCGCCACCACGGCCACCAGCGTGCCAGCCTGGAGGTTCGACACCAAGAGTGGTAAGGGCCAGTGGGTTGGGGGGCAGGACCAGGCTGGGCACCCCTTTGATCTAGGGATTGGGGGGGCAGGGCCAGGCTGGGTGCCCCATTGATCTGGGGCTGGGCAGGCGGGGCCAGACTGGACACCCCATTGATCTGGGGCTGAGTGGGCAGGGCCAGGCTGGACCCCCATTGATCTGGGGCTGAGCGGGGGCAAGGCCAGGCTGGACCCCCATTGATCTGGGGCTGGGGGGGGGGTAGGGCCAGGCTGGGCGCCCGTTGACCTGGGGCTGAAGGGGGTAAGACCAGGCTGGGTGCCCTGGAGGTTTGGGGGACCCATGTAAATGGTGAGTTTGGGGGGGTCTCAGCCTGGCTCCCAGTCACTGGCTGGAGGAGGTGCTGGGGATCCCCACTGGCTCTGTGCCAGTTTTTCAGCATGGAGGGGTCCAGCCCATGGGCAGTGCCACACGTCTGCATGGGACGGGGGGCTTGGAGATGGCAGGTGTCAGACTGACGTGGCCTTTCCCGCCCCAGGAGACGCTGCTGGCTGGGGGGTGAGGGCCCGGCGTTGGGATCCCATTGAATTAACAGATAGGGCACAGAGAGTGTCTTGCCCCCGGGCCGGTTGCTCTCAGCCCTGCTCCGCACACCAGCCCCCTCCTGCCATGAGGCCACAGGGCACCTCCACTGGCAGCGCCATGGAACTGCCTCAGTGGCAATAAAGCACCATTAGGCCCCAGGCTCGTGGAGAATGGCAGCGCTGGGCGTGGGTGGGGGCTGCGGGATTGCGGGGGAGGCTCTGGCTCGGAAACCTGCTGCTCTCCTCCAAGGTGCAGCCAGAACTTACCATGGGCTCCCCTGCCAGCCAACGCCCCTGTATCAACCCTCGACCAGGGAGCCTGGCTCCAGGGGTGCCTCTGCCTGGGGCAGCCGGCCTGGCAGGGAGGAGCGGAAGGCGTGGTGCCTGGCACATGTGGAGGGAGGGCGCCTGCCGCCTGTGGGAGGCCTTGGCTCAAACCCAGTTTGGGTCAGAAGTGAACCGAGCATGAGGGGCTCAGCCTGGTCCTATGGAGTAGATGTTGGGAGTACAGAAGGTGGGGGTGAGAAGGGAGCAGCAGGGGGCTGCAGGAGAGGATTGAGGGGCAGGGCTGGAAGGCAGGGGGTCGGCTGGGCGGGACGCTGGGGCATTAGCAGAGCAGGGG